CCCCAAAACCCCAAAACCCCAAAACCCCATGTTAAAAATTAACTTTATTATCGTGAATATGCTTAATTAAGATAGAATATATTTTCTTTAAATTTTTAATCAGCTTAAACCCTTAAAGTAAATAATTAATCAAATGAACTCAAACTTATTTCTCAAATATCTTTACCGCATTTCGGACAAACTTTAGATCTATTTGAATGGATATGCAAGCAACTTTCATGAAAAACATGATCACAATTCGCCTTGCTTATATATTCCCAACTTAGAAATCTTTAATTACAGAGACAACATTCTAAATTGTCATTTTTTATGTTTTCATTAACTCTGGAGTTCCTCATTTCTCGAGGTGATTATTATCTCTAAGATTCTTAAGATCTATCATTTTGGAATTGCTGCTATTGTTGTTAATTTTGCTGTTATTACTATCCATCAGAGTTATTGTTATTCCTATGGCGACGGCTAATTTTTCCTAAAAGTGTTGATAATATTCCTTATAATCTAAAGTCACTAAATTATCTTAAAATATTGAGCCTCTTCAACTGATTGAATAAATCGTTGATGTTCTAAAACGAATTTTGACTTCTGCTTATATAGTTCCATATTGTTGTTAAAACCTAGCTTAAATAGCTTTGTAATTATCTACTAACTGTGCTAAAATTTTAATTAGGTATCTAATTAAGAGCCTGCTGAACTATCGGAGAATCAATGATTATGTTAATGATTTCAAAAGCAAAATTAAAACCATCTGCTTCAAAGTATTTTTGTGATAACGAATAGACTGTCCTAATGCATTTGAACACTATATCTTGATAATTAAAGTTTGCAAAATCATTGCAATTTTACTGCATGGCCTCTTATTGGTTGAAAATATCCTGTTATTAAAATGGTTGTTTTTCTTCCTCATTTTAATCTTAATTATATCTTTATTCAATAAGATTTTCCAAAATACCAGGTTCTGAAGAATTATACTAATTGTTTGTAGTCTGAGACCTTGTGATTTCCTTTAAGCATTATTTCATTGCATTCAATTTTTCTAGCTTATTACGAATATTTTAGGAATTTTCATTTCCTTAACTATTGTCACTCTCTAAATAAGATATTTCATCTTTAAATTCTAATTCATGTCCAAAGATATGATCATCTAAATCCTCTAATCTGACAATAGTAAAGCATATTTCACATTTCATCTCATTTTTTACTACATTCTAAGAAGCATTATCATTATTTATTTAAAGTTGATTCAATTTTTCATTTGAATAATTGTCTTCACGATTTCTAGATTATACTGGTATTGCTTATTAGTCTTAATTCATTTATATAGCTTCTTTAACTATTATTTTAGAAGTTTATAATTGAGATACTTGCTAATCATTCTTATTTTGAGAGGCCAGTAGGTTGGTTAGAGTTTAGAAACAAGTCATTTGATCTATATTAATTGGTATGATGATTGTATTGATGGAGTTATTGCTTTGTTCTTAAGCATTTTTATATAAATCTAGTATCTTCAGCAAGGGCTTTATTAACAACTCTAAATTTTCATTAGAATTTAATTATTGTTAATTTTAAGAGCAGTGCGCTATAAAGCTTAATAAATCAATAGTCACAGTTCTAAATCCTAATTCATTTCCTTAGTCTAAGCATTTTTAAATCACATTTTAAAATATCGATTATAACTACTCATTATGATCAAAAGCAAAAGAACAAATCTATTAATACTTATGTTAGGATTTTGAAAATGACAGATTCCTTTTTTCTATCTCGTAAAAATAGTTATTATTTTAAGTTTTTTTAAGTATTATCAAGCTATCACAAAGAACAGACTCAGCTGATTTAGCAAAAATAATTTTCAAAGTTATTTTTCCAAAACTAAATATGCTCTCATTTTAAGATTGATTAATATTTTGAAAAAAATGATTATTATTCTGATTAATATCCTGTCTCAATGATATATTCTGAGATTAGATTATTTATTGTTGAGTGCTAAAGCATCTCTGAGAATTTTCTAAAACTTAAAATTTGAATTTATTGCCCAATAAAGAGTTTTTGTCTAATTGATATTCCCCAAACTCATTATTGATTTGAAAATTTTATTTTATCTCTTCATTACTTTCCTCATCATCTTAAATAAAGACCTCAATTATTTTATCAGTTTCTACTATTCTATCTCTAAATTAGCATTATAGAAATGGAGATTTACCTTGAAGTGTTTTGCATTTAGAAGCTTTATTAATATAGAGATTTATCTTGAATGATCTAATTCATTTAATTCTAATTACTATAACTAATTGAACATCTCATTTTCAATAAATATTTTATTTTGATCAATTTAAATTCTACTCTAATTGACTTAATCTATAATTCTGGGGTTTTGGGGTTTTGGGG